AATGCTTGGCAGCGTGTCGTCAGACGCTGCACGCCTCTGTAGTTGTCCGGCGTGCTGCGTGGCCACTATTGCAATGTGACCGCTGAGAACATAGGTACACAAGACCTGATGCCGCTGCTTTGGGGAAAGTCCGCACGGCCAACTCACTCTGTGGGCTTTTCGGGCTGCCCTGACAAGCGGCCGCTCTCCTTCTCGCAAGCGCTGTTGCAGCTCGCGGCAGGTCCGCTTCAGAGAACACAAGCGACAGGTAGCTGCTTGGCAACGGCACTCCATGGTACAGAGCACTTCAGCACCGCAAAGCACTTCCTTTTGGAGGCTCACGCACAGGCAAACTGCCGAAGTGCGAAAACGTCAGACGAGGCTTGGAGATGTAACTCTTGCAAGATTTCGTCGACAGTCTGCCTGCACCACTACCAACTACGTCGCTGACTCCTGACGCTAAGAACTTGGCCAGACATGCACACGACAAGCTGCGACGAACGACAGTCAAATACGGTCGATTCAATCTCGGCAAGGGCAACACAATGGCCCTCTATCCTTACGTCATGGTCGATGTGCGAACCAACAACGACTTGGCATACAGTACAATGCAGACACGAAGCGGGCCGAGCCCGTGCCCAAACGAAGCGCTCAGTGATGGCAATTCACGTTGTTCACAGGCCAGATATCATAAGGTTGGCATTCGGCTGTTCAATGCTAAGACCCGGTCCAGTTCTGTTGTTTTCGGAAATGATTCAGAAAACGTCGGGAGTTCACAGCGGGATGACGCGACAGCTTCTAAAGCATTGAACAGGCCATTGTCAACCTTACCTTCCAGCACGGTCGAGCTTTGAACATCGGACATCATTGAACCGGCCATGCCCAACCTTACTCTCAAGGTTCTGTTGTGCGATTACAATGCGATGATTGCAAACAATTGCCAACACGAACCCCCCCTCAGAAGTGCAAATATGGCATCCTCACCATCCCCTCACTCTCGCTGTCGCCCTCGCTCACCCTCTCAACCTCACCCTGGCTTGTGCACAAAGGCCAGGGACGCAACGCTGAGATGAGCATGTCCGAATAATTCACCGGAGCCACACTCCTGCGCATTTTGTTTCACTTTCATTGTCAGACACTCTGCTTCTCACTCTGCCCTCGAGCTCAACCTCACCCTTCCCTTCATCTCACCCTCACCCTCACTCTCACCCTCGCTCTCACGCGCCAAATTTCCTGAAAGGCGCTCAGAAACACTACCTTTCAACGGTTTTAAACTTCCTCCTAAACCCTCCCAAACCCTCGTCAGACACCTTACAGGCACTTCAACGGCCTCAAGGTGCCTCCTAAACCCTCCCAAACCCTTCCCAGACCTCTTAGAGGCAAACTGCTCCTAAACCCTCGCAGACGCTCCACCTGACTGCCCCCAAACCCTTCCCAGACACCTTAGAGGCAGCCGCTAAACCCTCCCAAACCCTCCCCAGACACCTGAGAGGCTTCAACGGCCTCGGACTGCCTCCTAAAGCTGCCTCCTAAACCCTCCCAAACCCTCCCCACAACACCTGAAAGGCACTTCAACGGCCTCAGACTGCCTCCTAAACCCTCCCAAACCCCCAGACACCTTAGAGGCACTTCCCAAACACCTTAGAGGCATTTCAACGGCCTCAAGCTGCCTCCGAAACCCTCCCAAACCCTCCCCAGACACCTGAGAGGCACTTCAACGTCCTCAGGCTGCCTCCTAAACCCTCCCAAACCCTCCCCGACACCTTAGAGGCACTTCAACGGCCTCAGACTGCCTCCTAAACCCTCCCAAACCCTCCCCAGACACCTTAGAGGCACTTCAACGGCCTCAGACTGCTTCCTAAACCCTGGAGCAAAATCTCCGGTGAGCTCTTTTGTCTTTATGCGTTTTAGGAGCAAAATCTACGGTGAGCTCTGTTGTCTTTATGCGTTTTAGGAGCAAAATCTACGGTGAGCTACTTTGTCTTTATGCATTTTAGGACCAAAATTCACGGTGAGCTCTTTTGTCTTTATGCATTTTGGGACCAAAATTCACGGTGAGCTCTTTTGTCTTTCTGCCTTTTAAGAGCAAAATCTCCGGTGAGCTCTTTTGTCTTTATGCGTTTTAGGAGCAAAATCTACGGTGAGCTCTTTGGTCTTTGTGCGTTTTAGGAGCAAAATCTACGGTGAGCTCTTTTGTCTTTATGCGTTTTAGGAGCAAAATCTACGGTGAGCTCCTTTGTCTTTATGCATTGAAGGACCAAAATTCACGGTGAGCTCTTTTGTCTTTATGCATTTTGGAAGCCGAATCTACGGTGAGCTACTTTGTCTTTATGCGTTTTAGGAGCAAAATCTACGGTGAGCTCTTTGTCTTCACCCTCACTCTCACTCTCACTCTCACTCTCAGCCTCACCCTCACCCTCACTCTGACTCCCAGTGACAAGGTTCAAGAAACTTCCAACACAACGTCCACAAGCTGAGCTGCTCACTCAGCAGTGCACCAAGGGCAGGGACCTCCGCTTGGTGACAAGATGCAGAAATTTCCAACAATGCAACGTCCTGAAGCTGAGCTGCCCACTCAATCGGCAGGAGCGATGGGGCGGTGTGTACGAAGGGGAGGGACGCACCTCCATAAACTTTCCAACGCAACGTCCACAGCTGAGCAGAGCACTACTCTGAATAATTCACCGGATCACTCACTCCCGCTTCGTGGTTCATGAAACTTCCAGCGAAACGTCCAGAAGCTGAGCCGACCACTCTTTCGGTGGGTGTTCAAAGGGCAGGAACCTCTACTCAGCGATACCAAGGTTCATGAAACGTGCTACGAAACGTCCAAAGCTGAGATGAGTACTTGTCCGAATAATTCACCAGATCACTCACTTTGTCTTAGTGACAAGGTTCAGGAAACTTCCAACGCAGCGAACAGAAGCTGAGCTGTTCACTCACCGGTAGGAGCAGCACTACTCGGAATAATTCACCGGATCACTCACTTCCGCTACGTGGTTCATGAAACTTCCAGCGCAACGTCCAGAAGCTGAGCCGACCACTCTCTCGGTGGGAGCGATGGGCAATGTGTACAAAGGGCTGGAACCTCCACTTAGCCATATAAGCTTTACGCAACGTCCAAAAGCTGAGTTGCGTACTGGTCCGAATAATGCACCAGATCACTCACTTCCTCTTCTTGACAAGGTTCAGGAAACTTCCAACGGCAAAATCTACGGTGAGCTCTTTTGTCTTTATGCAGTTTAGGACCAAAATTCACGGTGAGCTACTTTGTCTTTATGCCTTTTAAGAGCAAAATCTACGGTGAGCTCTTTTGTCTTTATGCGTTTTAGGAGCAGAATCTACGGTGAGCTACTTTGTCTTTGTGCGTTTTAGGAGCAAAATTTACAATGAGCTCTTTTGTCTTTATGCGTTTTAGGAGCAAAATTTACGGTGAGCTCTTTTGCCTTTGTGCGTTTTAGGAGCAAAATCTACGGTGAGCTACTTTGTCTTTATGCGTTTTAGGAGCAAAATCTACGGTGAGCTCTTTTGTCTTTATGCGTTTTAGGAGCAAAATCTACGGTGAGCTCTTTTGTCTTCATGCCTTTTAAGAGCAAAATCTCCGGTGAGCTCTTTTGTCTTTATGCATTTTAGGAGCAGAATCTACGGTGAGCTACTTTGTCTTTATGCGTTTTAGGGTGAGCTCTTTGTCTTCACCCTCACCCTCACTCTCACTCTCACTCTCAGCCTCACCCTCACCCTCACCCTCGCTCTCACCCCCACCCTCACTGTCACTCTCACTCTGACTTCCAGCGACAAGCTTCAAGAAACTTCCAACGCAACGTCCAGAAGCTGAGCCGACCACTCTTTCGGTGGGAGCGACGGGCAATGTGTACAAAGGGCTGGAACCTCCACTTAGCGATATAAGCTTTACGCAACGTCCAAAGCTGAGTTGGGTACTGGTCCGAATAATTCACCAGATCACTCGCTTCCTCTTTGTGACATGACAAGGTTCAGGAAACTTCCAACGCAGCGAACAGAAGCTGAGCTGCTCACTCTCGGTAGGAGCAGCACTACTCGGAATAATTCACCGGATCACTGACTTCCGCTTCGTGGTTCATGAAACTTCCAGCGCAAAGTCCAGAAGCTGAGCCGACCACTCTCTCGGTGGGAGCGACGGGCAATGTGTACAAAGGGCTGGAACCTCCACTTAGCCATATAAGCTTTTACGCAACTCACTCTGACTCCAGCGACAGTTTGGCCAAGGGTTTCCTTGCTCAGCGGTAAGGTTCATGAACTTTCCAACGCAACGTCCATATGAGCAGAGCACTACTCTGAATAATTCACCTGATCACGCACTTCCGCTTCGTGGTTCATGAACTTCCAGCACAACGTCCAGAAGCTGAGATGCCCACGTTCTCAGTCGGCGGGAACGAGAAGGAGGTGTTACAAAGGGCAGAGCATGCGGACAAGGTTCATGAATCTTCCAAACGCAACGTTCAAAGCTGGACTGGGCATCCCCTAAACTGCTGCTTTGACTGCTGCCTATGGCAGGGATAGCAAATTGCCATGCCAATCACAAGAAAGATAACAAGAACGTCAATGACCCACGGCATGTCGCTTGCACATGTTTGCCCTACACATGTACCAACGAAAGTAAACGGCAGCAACATGCGCAAATGTTTGTGCGAAAGGGCCCTAAACGTAAAAACTATGAGACTAGATACCGTTTCTTGGCGGCTCCGAGGGCACGAAGCAAGCATTGTCGCGCGCACTCCGGCTTGTGATCGCTTTGTTTGCGCAAACCCGAATGAAAGCGGGAACCGAATTAGTGTTGCAATTTTAAAGCGCGATGTGGCGAATTAGTGGTGTCGAAATGCCGATTCAGGTCAGCTGGCCGCCGTGCTGGAAAGGATCCTCATCATCTGAAGAGGCCATGGGAGGCTCGTCAACAGGGGCAATGGGCAAACGAGGCTCGTCAACAGGAGCAACGGGCAAGCGAATATCGTTGGTAATCTCGATCCAGAGCACACGACGCTTAATTAATGGTGCTTGGTCTGGGCAACAGCTGGCGGGAAGAAGCCATCCCAACCCCAATTGGTATTGAAGATGCGAGGGCAATGTGCTGGGATGCCGCCATCTTTGTTGCGGCACTGTACATCCCTGCGTTTTGCGAGATCGAGAAGGCCTTTGACATCATCTATGTCCCGATTGTGCAAGCAGAGTTCATCCACGATGAGACCTTGATGGGGCAGGAAGGTTACATCTCGCAGTCGATCCAGCTTGTTCACGAAATGAAAGCCTTTGCCTTTGCATATGACGGACATGATTGCGCAGGCCAGTTCGGTTTTGCCTAGACCTCCCTCACCCTGGAGAATGAGAGCCTTCGAAAGATGACCCCCAGAGACCCACTGCGGAAGATCCGGATGAATGGCGTCCAGCGAAAGAAACTGTTGCAACGAGAAGCTGGCGTCGAACAGGAGTGTGCCAGTTGGCATGTCCTCGCAATTCCACGCAAGGACAACCTTGGCAACCAAGCTGCTCACATCATTCGCGGCCCCGAGGGTGTTGAAAAGGAGATCATCGCCTGCCAACTTGCGCTTCTTTGCAAGAAGCCAAGCATCCTTTGTGGACTTGACGTTTGCTTCCACAAAGCAATCAGTAATTTCACTGAATGTCATCAAGACACGCTTTTTGCCCTTGCCGTGACCATTGCGCGCATCTTGCTGGGGGTTTTTCGCGTTGCAAATCGTCAAAAGCTCCTGTGCCGTCAGGCGGGAGGGAATGGACCAGGGCTCCATGTCGAGATCTGCTTGCAGCTTGTGGGCCGAAGGCTGCAAGCAATATTGAAGATAGGCCTGGTAACCGACGAGATTGAACGAAAAGTGCCCATGGATGCCCTTTGCCCGAAGGGACTTCGCAATCTGCAAGTGCGCGAAAACGGCCTTGAAGCGGAAAATGATGTGGTAGTGCCTGGCACGGAGGCCCGTCGCGGCATTGAACTTTTTGTGGGGTTCATCGAAGATATGAAGGCGGTCCAGGTTCACGAACTGGTTGTGTTGCGCCAGCACAGCCTTGAAAGTTTGGCCAAGGGTTTCCTTGCTCATGTCTTCAGGGATGAGAAAGTTGCGAGCTTTGCGAACTGCTGGATCGGCGGGAAATTCGCGCGGACATGGCCACACGAATTGGCCACACATCGCACGTGTTTTCGCGGAGCTCGGCTGGTCGGCGTCTTCCTCCGAAGACTCGCCCTCAGCAGGTCACGACAGTGAACTGACACGCGTGGTTGGGTTTGTAATTGCGGGAACCACACGGAGAGAGAGAGAGAGAGAGAGAGAGAGAGAGAGAGAGAGAGAGAGAGAGAGAGAGAGAGAGAGAGAGAGAGAGAGAGAGAGAAAAATTGCAAACTGATGCACGAGATGCCTGGGCGGCTAACATTTGGGCGTCGGGCTCATCATCTGACGAGCTTGAGGAGGACGACGAGACAGAGGGCGACATTGGGAACGCAAGGCAGTGGACACACACGTGTTGGCAGTGAAACTAAAAAGTGCTGTAGCGGGAATCTGGACACATGCCCAAATGCATAGTTTTGGACAGGCCTATGAGACGGAAAGGTAAAGGCCAACATTGGCTTCCAAAGCCCAAGCTTGGCTGTTAAAAATTAAAATTGGCTCTGGAAAACTGACTTCAAAGCCCAAAATTGGCTTCCACAGGGCTTCCAAAAGCCAAAAATAGGGCCTCCAAAGCCCAAAATTGGCTTCCAAAGCCAACAATGCCCTCCAACGCCCAAAATTTGCCTCCAAAGCCCAAAATTGGCCTCCCAAGCCCAAAATTGGCGTCTACATTGCCAAAAATCGGACCGGCGCCGAGAAAATCGTATAGCTGGACTCGCGTTGAAAACATATTTAATTGCTTTTGAGAGAGGATCCAACTATACGATTTTCTCTTGCGGGCATGGTTTTTGGGACAATCTCTTTCAGACCGCGCGTTCTCCTTGGGTTTTGGCACACGTGCTGCTGAAAAGTGGCAAGTGTCACAAGCTTTTTGTCGTCGGACGAGGCCCATTGGGGTTTGGGCGCCTTAGAGGCACTTCAACGGCCTCAGACTGCCTCCGAAACGTTCCCAAACCCTCCCCAAACACCTTACAGGCACTTCAACGGCCTCAGACTGCTTTCTAAACCCTGGAGCCAAATCTACGTTGAGCTCTTTTGTCTTTATGCGTTTAGGAGCAAAATCTACGCTGAGCTGTTGTTTTGTCTTTATGCGTATTTGAGGAGCAGAATCTACGGTGAGCTATTCTCATAGAAGCACAGTCCCCCCAAAACCCCGCTGCTTCTTTGTGCGAAAATTCTCATAGAAGCACAGTCCCCCCAAAACCCCGCTGCTTCTCTGTGCGAGATTCTCACAGAAGCACAGTCCCCCCAAAACCCCGCTGCTTCTCTGTGCGAAAATTCTCATAGAAGCACAGTCCGCCCAAAACCCCGCTGCTTCTCTGTGCGAAAATCCACAGAAGCACAGTCCCCCCAAAACCCCGCTGCTTCTCTGTGCGAAAATTCTCATAGAAGCAGAGTCCCCCCAAAACCCCGCTGCTTCTCTGTGCGAAAATGCTCATAGAAGCACAGTCCTCCCAAAAAAAGCGCTGCTTCTCTGTGCGAAAATTCTCATAGAAGCACAGTCCCCCCAAAACCCCGCTCTTTGTGCGAAAATTCTCATAAAAGCACAGTATCTACGGTGAGCTGTTTTGTCTTTTTGCGTGTTAGGAGCATAATCTACGGTGAGCTCTTTGGTCTTTATGCACTTTAGGACCAAAGTTCACGGTGAGCTCTTTTGTCTTTATGCATTTTAGGACCAAAATTCACGGTGAGCTCTTTTGTCTTTATGCCTTTTAGGAGTAAAATCTACTGTGAGCTCTTTTGTCTTTATGCGTTTTAGGAGCAGAATCTACGGTGAGCTACTTTGTCTTTATGCGTTTTAGGAGCAAAATCTACGGTGAGCTCTTTTGTCTTTATGCGTTTTAGGAGCAACATCTACGGTGAGCTCTTTTGTCTTTATGCATTTTAGGACCAAAATTCACGGTGAGTTTTTTTGTCTTTATGCGTTGTTTCTTCGTGGCTTCCAGGAACTTCACGCAAGCATTATCGCGCATACTGTTGGTGGCACGTGCTTTACCCTGCGCAAACTCGAACGAAAACGTACAGTAAGAGCAGCACACTGACATGTTTATGCGCAAGGGCTTTAAACCCCAAAACTATGAGACCAGATACGGCTCCGACGAACTTCACGCACGCAACATCGGGCATAATTTGACTCGCAAGTGCTTTGTCCTGTGCAAACCTACGAAAACGCACGGGAAGAGAAACAAACCTACAGGTTCATGCGCCTGGGTTTTAAACAAAACTATGACACTGGATACCGTTTTTTCCTGGCTCGTAGGAACTTCGTGCAAGCATTGTTGCACATATCGTCGCTTGCAAGTGGTTCTTTTCTGCACAAACTCCAAAGAAAACGCACGGGAAGAGCAAACACACAGCAACTCTGACGTGAAAGGCCTTAAACACGAGACTTGTCAAGAGGGCATGTAATCTACAAGCCTGGTTTCCTGACACACAGCTCTGCTGTCCTTTCTACCAAACATGCGTCGAGCAAGGATAACTTGTGTCAGAGTCTGGTACAGCTTGTCGCTAAAATCTACTTTACATGACCGTCTAGGCTTGCAGCCACAGCTAAGAACACACTCAGGAAGCGGATGTTACGGGCGCAGGCGCGGCACGCTCCTGATGTTCACGAGCAGCGTAGCTCAGCCTCCCCGTGTATGAGCCGGCCCCGACGCTTTGCCTTCCGGGCCAACAAGGTCCACGGCGACTACTACGAACAACGTCCGCGCTAGCAGTGCTACGATTGCCCGCAGCCTCCAGCTTGAGCACTTGAGAAGCTTCTTTCGAACTGCGCTTGAGCTGGTCACGCTCGTCTTGCAGTCGCTGTAAGTTGCTCTCGTCCATAACTAGAGCAGGGGCCAAGGGCAGTTTGCAGCTTCAGCTCGTGGCCAAAACACTGCAGCATGTACAGGGAAGCTGACCCCATAAACTGGCCCATAACACGGACCCACGCCACAGACATGTCACATGCACTCACAGTATAGCACCCGGTAAATGCTAAGCTGCTAAAATTGACTGGGATTCCTGGTGCTATTCCTGGTGCTACTCCTGGTGCTATTTCTGGTGCTATTTCTGGTGCTACTTCTGGTGCTATTTCTGGTGCTATTTCTGGCGCTGTTTCTGGTGCTTTTTCTGGTGCTATTTCTGGTGCTATTTCTGGTGCTATGTGACTAGCAGTCACCACCAGCAGACCCACAAAAAGCAGCACCCGGTAAATGCTAAAATTGACTGGGATTCCTGGTGCTATTTTTGGCCAGTGTGTTATAAGGCCACGACGTTATTTAACTGTTAGTGTGGACCGGCCGAACCCAACCCTAAACCCGAAACCCTAAACCCTAAACCCGAAACCCTAAACCCTAAACCCTAAGCCCTTGACAGAAGTGGAGGGGCCTATTCAAGCTTAGCGCTTCGCGGCTGGCACAGCAACAACGAAGAAAAATGACGATTCCTCCCACCCATTCTGCCAGCTGAAGGGTGCAATGGCTCTGTACCTCTGTCCCTAACAGCCCAAACTTGGCTAAACATTCCAAAGCTGCCCCCCCCCAACTCCCCCCCCACCCAAAAAGGAACTCCACAAAAAAAGAAAGAAACGTCAACGCCACACACCCGGTGCTTCTTGCAACGCCTTCAGCCCCCTGCATTCCTGAACTGCAGGCCCCAGGCCCTAGACTCTCTTCACCTCTTGAAATGAGGGTCCGTTGCTGGGCACCCCAAATGTACGGTTGGTCGCATAACGAAAGAACGACAACCCTAAACCCTGCAAGCTTTGGGTTAGAGGGCTACGTGGAGGTTTGCGAGTAGTTCTAGTGTAGGGCAACTGTACTATGACTGGACTGGATGTACCCCTTATCGGCGGGGGGGGGGGGGGGGGGGGGGGATTATTTACA